ACAATATTCATTTAATATTTCAAATACCAGCTGGGTCACTGTTGGACAGGTTTCAGTGGAACTTTCAGACTAAGACAGACAAGGAAGGAGGACCTGGCCGCCCGCTTCCGGAAAAAAATTGACCATGATGAGCACTCAGCACAGTGCCTATAAATAGCAGCAGAGCATTGTCTGATATGACACTGGAAGATGAGAGGGTGGTGCAAAAAATAAAAGACTAGGCAGGGTTCCACTCTGCTGTACACAGGGTTGTTAGGAATCAGAATCGACTTGATGACACTAACAACAACAACCCAGGAGATGAGCAAGAAACAATTTTCTTTGAAACGTGCAAAATTTGGACAACCCAGACCTTCTGAGTTAATCCTTTACTGCGTGACCTGTATGTAATATAATCATAATTTCTTATATATTAAACTGTAATCTTGATGAAGACAGATATATAAATAGATAGATAGATGATAGGTAGGTAGGTAGGTAGATAGATAGATAGAGAGAGAGAGAGAGAGACAGGAAGATTAATGGTCTAAAATCAACAGAACAGACCATCAATAAAGAAATCCCTAAGTGTTTTTCTTTTAGAAGAAAAATGATCTCAGATTGAAGGTTTGAGATATAAGAGGAAATGAAGAGAAAAAAGAGGTAGATTTAAACAAGTGACTGTAAAGAATAATAGCAATCAATATTTTGGAGTTAAAATAGTGAGTGAGAACTAAAAATATATAAGAATAATAGTTTATGAGTTTGGGTAACAGGAATTTAAGTGTCCTAACTTTTTTTTGTGGAAGGTAGAGAGTAAAAGTATAAATCAACCTTTATTGTAAAATTGCCTATGGTTAAATAAATTTCCAAGCATCTCAGTTAAAATGGACCTCATTAAAACGGAATCAATCAATTTAAAAGAAAGAGAAAAGAAGAAAAAGAACACAGAAAAGGTAGATCTCTTGCTCTCATTCTGTTACTCTCCCTCTTTCTCTTTGGACTGCAGATGCACAAAATTGGATCAATCATTACTCTTGGTTTATGACACATCATTGTCATGATAAGTCCATGAATGCCTGAGTTTTAATGATTCACTTGGCCAGCTTAAGAGTCTAATAAACTTCTGCAAAACTATCATCCAAAATAAATAGATAGATGATGATGATAGATAGATGATAGATAAGATGATAGATAGGATGATAGATAGATAGATAGATAGATAGATAGATAGATAGATAGATAGATAGATAGATAATATATAGATAGAGATACATACATACATACATACACACACACCTGGGGCATACACAACGGTCCGAGGAGAATGATAATGACCCCCACCTCATCTCCACCACCATCTTCCTCAAACAAGAGAAATATTTCCCTGAATTTCTTCATCAACATTTCTTTGTTTTCTTTCCTATTTTCCCTTATAATGGCTTAACATAATTTCATTAATATGTCTATGTGCTTGTTTATGCTCGAGAACATAATCTCTTTACAAACAGGAAATGTGTCATTCTTTTGACTGTAGATTCAATAGCATTTTGAGCAACATGAGATACATCATAAGAATTTAAAATAATTTTCTGCTGAATAAATGTATACTTCATTTTTTTTTAATTTCCAGCATTCAACACAATACTTATTAGACATATCATGAATGTTTACTAAAATATCTACGTATGCATTAAATTATGTTTCTTTTCTCATAGTAGATTATATGGCAGTGACCAAATGCTATACATTTTTTTGTTACTGTTTCACATTATCTATCAATTCTTTACACAGAGTGGTTATTGAATAATGAAAATAATGGAAAGAAAAGGAAAATGGCTTATTTCAAAAACCAGAGTTATACTGGCGTTTTAAAAATATTTAAATATTCTAATTATTTATTAAAATATTAAAATATTTTATTAATTAAAAATATTTAAATATTTTAAAAATATACATAAAGAAGTACTATATTCAGAAGACAGTTTATAGATATATTTTATTGTAATTGCTCTCTTTTCTTTTCCACTCTCTAATAAGGGACAATTACGTCTTTCCATCTTCCTAATCCTCTTCTAAAGCAAATGGCACAGCTGGTATAGCTGCAAAAAATAGATAATAACTTTTTATTCTATTATTTAGCTTTGCTATATACAAATGTACTATACAATTGCTTCTTAACTAACCCATGCAGAAGTGATTTTCATCCATTTACTTCTAGGGTACTTAACTGCTACTGAATCTAAAATAAATATATGATACTCACATCTTGCTGATAGACTCTCTAGTAAATATCTGATGATACATATAATATTATTATCTTCTCTTAGAAGAAAGCCATATAACCTGCCCAATTGGCTATTTTTACATACAGATACATTAAAAAAAAAAAAACTTACTAAGAAGCTTTGTCCTGTGAATGAATAAAAAATGTAATCTCAGCAGCCTGAAAATGTAAGCTACCACCTGTAGAAACTTCAGAACATGAGGCATGCCAAAGGCTAGGTAAAGGATTAGACCTCAGGAGATTTTAGGAACCCTATGTGCTATGCATAGAAAAGGATTATAGCAAAGCAGGTAATTTCTCATGTTCTTCTACAGTCAGCAGATGGGGGCTCAATCTCAGGACTTAGTTTGATCCTATAATTCATTGATCCAATGACTTTTTCACTGCCAATCAACTCTCTCATATTCACATTACCCAACTTATGTTTCACGGTCCATCATTATAATTATTCTCCTGCATAAAACCACAACTGCCCTACCTCTTTCTTGATTTGTGGTACTAGCCAGGCAAACTCCATCCTGTTTTAAAGCCATTTCTCTGCCTATTACACAGATCCACAACTGATCCTTGCTTGAGAAAAACACACAGCTGTTGATTTCATTTCACTTGAAATACATACCCTTCAAGTGTGACCCTAGAGTTGCCCAGTAATCGCACCTCATTTCCATGGTCCCCTCAAACCCTTGCCCAATTCAGCTCCAGCACATTTATCTTGACCCTTATGCTCAATTGATCTCTTTGTTTTCTATTTCACAAAGGAAGTAGAAGCAATCAGAGGGTTATTTTCACACTTCTATATCCCGTAAATTTAGTGCAAAATACTGCTGTTAGCTTTCTTCGAATTGTTCTTTTCTTTTAGTGATTATGCCACTGACTCATAATTCATCTAAGTTTATTTTCAATATTTAGAGATTCTTCTTTTTGTTTTTTTAAATAAGTTTTTGTTTTGAGATAGTTGTGGATTCACGTGCAGTTATAAGAAATAATACAGAGAGATCCTGTGTACCTATTACCTAGTTTAACGTCTTGCAAATCTATGATATAATTTCACTACCAGAATATAGATATTAATACAGTCAAGTCAGAACAGTTCTATGACCACAAGGATCCCTTGTGTTTCTCTTTTATAACCATGCACACCTTTCCCTGATGCATGGCAACAACCACTCTATTCTCCATTTCACTCAGCATAACTACCTGACGATTTTATCCAGTTTGTGTGTGTATAATAGTTTGCTCCTTTCTATGGCTGAGCAGAATTCCATGGTATAGGTGTAACACAATTTTTCAGCTATTAATTGTATTATTTTAACATGATAATATCCAAAATGATATAAATATACAATAACTGCTAGACTTTTAATATACTTTCAAAAGGGGGAAATAGGAATAGATTTTTTAATAAGCTTTTAAAAAATTTAGAAGTTTTAGATTTACAGGAAAACTAAGAACATGGTACAGATATTACCATATACAACATACCCAGTCTCCTCTATTATTGACATCTTCTGTTAACTAATATGGTATATTTGTCACAATTAAGGAACAAATATTGATATATTATTATTAACTAAAGACCATAGTTTATTTAGATTTTTTTAGTTTTTATATAATGTTCTTTTACTGTTCCAGAATTCCATTCAAGGTATCACATGATGTTTAGTTGTAATGTCTCCTGAGGTTCCTGGGGACTATGACAGTTTCTCTCACCTTCCTTGTTTTGATGTCCTTGACAGTTTTGAGGAGCCCTGGTCAGATATTTTGTACATTTATTTATACATTCGTTATTTTGTACCTTTATATGTGTTGTATAAATTTTTATATTTATATTTTGTACATATATTTGTACATTTGTAGAATGTCTCTCAATTGAAATTCGTCTATTGTCTTTCTCATGAGTACACTGAGGCTTTGGGTTTTAAGAGGAAGGATACAGAGGTAAAGTGCTATTGTCATCACATCATATCTAGGGTACATACTATCAGTATAACATCACTATTGATGCTAACATTGATCACCTGATTGAAAAGTTTTTCCATTATAAAATTACTCATTCAAACACAGCTTGCAGTTAAGGAGTGAGGAGTCATATCTGCCTATTTGAGGGGGAAGTCTCTACACAAGTTATTTTAATCCTACACTGAAGATTGGTGTCTGTTTCTCTATTTACTTTTTTGTTCACTAATTTATTCATATCATTATTGATTTATGGATTGTGTTTTATACTCTGGGTTATGATGCAATATTATTATATTATTTTGTGGTTCAGATTCTTCCAGTCTTGTCCGTTGGGAGCTGTTTCATTTGTTTCTTACATCCCTTTGACAGAACTACACCAGGGTTTTTGTTGCTGTTTTTTATTTGGTCCGGTTTGTTTGTTTTTAGTACTTCCTTAATTTCTGGCATTACGAGATGCTCTGGGCTCATCTTGCATATTCCCCATTGCAGCCCTAGAAGTGATCATTTCTCCAAGGATCCCTGGTTTATTTTATTGGAGAAGATATTAGAAATCAAGATCTAGGTTCTAGGTGTGGCTATTGCTGGGGAGTGTCATTGCTTTTAGGCCTTCTCAGCCGACAGAATAAGGAAAAAAATGTGTGCATACTAATCCTTTTATATTCACATATCTATAACTATTTCCATATGTAAACAACTATATTTATATTACAGTAAACATGAGTCCATACTGATATCTCCAACTCTAACCCAGCACCATATAGATCACTCTAGTTTTTCCCCCTTGCTTGTCTGTAACCTTCCACTCCAATAGTGAGAAAATTGGCTCCCATCATCTGTTATCTGTATACATAATTGTTCATTTCCAGTATACAGGTAGAATACCATTTTTCACATTAGGTATATGTATGGCATACATTTTATAAGGGTTTCAGAATTGTTAGCTCATGCCCCATAGAAAACAACTTTGCCTATTAGAATACAGTGCTTATGCACAGTTCTTTTTACATTTCAAGCCTTCAATCATTTTCAATATTCCTTAAGTCAGCACATTCCCCCCCCGCCCCGCCCCGCTCCTTCAGTGAGACTAGTTCATACATTTGTAATACAGTTACATTCTTTTGTCACACTCTGCATACCGTTCTGGGATTCTCCCAGATCTCTTATATGATTGTTTAATTTCCATACACTGACATTTACTCTTTGAGCTGGAAACATGTATTGGTTTCGACAAATGCATAGTGTCATGTATTCAACATTATAGTATCATACAGAATATTTTCATCACCATAAAAAAATTCCCTTTATTTCGCCTATTCATACCTCCACCCTCTGCAAGGCCCAGGCAAGCAATGATTTGTTTACCATCTGTTATGAGAGGTTTGGGGATTCAATCGGAGACGTAAAAGAAACTTTCCACTCCAAACAAATGGACTGAAGGTATATTTTATTATATAGAGGATAGTAAAGGCGATAGTCC